AAGCCTTTGGGAAGCACCAGAGCAGGCAGCAGCTGTGCTGGCCAGGAGAAAGGAGAGCTGCTGCATCGCCTCACAGAAAAACCCAGCAGCTGCCCCAGGGTGAGGGGTCCCTCCATGCATCCCAGCCATGGCACCAGAGCCCCCCGATCCAGATCCATGCCAGGAGCAGCCCCGGAGCTTAACAGCACCAAGTGTTCTCTCCTGCACCTGCAGGAAGGGAAAATTGTCCCAAATCCACCTGGTTCCAGCCCAGCCCAGGGCCCCAGCGCTGCGGAGGCAGCAGCACATCCCCCAGCGCTGCAGGGCTGTGGGGGTTCAGGCTCTGTCCCCCCCGGGATGAGCTGTGGTTTCTTTCCTGGAAAGGGAGAAGCTGGAGGGGAGTGTTTTTGGCAGCAGCACCCCAAGTTGGGGTTGGTGGGTGGATGGGGAGGGGATCAGGCCCCCAGCAGGGATTGGCAGCACAAAGTGGGTTCACAGCCCCACGCTTGTGCCACGTCTCAGCTCCAAGACCGGCTGTTTTCTGCTCAAAAAAATGAGTTACTCCTCAAGCTGTTGCCCGTCCCCCCACCCCGAGCTGTCTCTGGCTGCCACCGCACCCCACTCCTGGCAGTGGCCATGTCAGCAAGAGCCCTCAGCAAACACTCACCGGCAGCTCCTCGAGGGCCTGCCCCAGCCCTCCTGCAGCAATGCCCAGGGCTCTGCAAGGTTTCCCCAATGGGCAAGAGGAGCAGTTCCCAGGTCCCTGGTCCCCACACTCCCTCCCTGTGCACTCGAGTTGCTCCAGCCCGTGGTGGTGGCCCCGGCCCACGGTGGTGTCCCCAGCCCATGGTGGTGGCCCCAGCCCATCCCCATCGGTGCAGGACGAAGGAGCTCGACCCTGGAGCATGTGGCCAAGCTGGGCTCCAGCTTGCACAGGATGAACCTCATGGATGGTACCGTGAGACTCTCATCCTTGGGCAGCACTGGTCCTCTCCACCCTGGGCTGCTCCAAATGCCCCCACGCCTAGAGCATCCATGAGTCAAAAGTGTGCTCCTCACTTCTTGTACCACTGCCACTAGTGGTGGATTGTGACGTTCCCATTAAGGGGCTGCACCCCACAAACAGCACAACCCCATGGGGCTCCCTGCACCCCAACATCCCCTGCCACCCCCTCGTGCCTTACCAGTCACCAC